GAGGGAGGGGGGAGGGCAGGCGGCGGCCAGAAACGAGCTGGGATTTTGGGCCACGGCTCGCTGTCTGAAATTTTTCAGCCTTATCGGGCTAGAAAATACGGATCTCCTGGGGGGAAAAGATTAACGAGAGCCTTATTAAAGAGCAATTCGTCAGCTAGTGCTGGGTTCGTGAGATAGCGCTGGCAGCCAGTCAGCGCGCAGGCACATGAAACGCGCGAGGGGAAACAAGTATAGAGTCAGATCGCGACGTTATAGCAAGAGATTCATTTGCAGATAACAAGCTGTCTTCCCTCTCTAGATTTCTCTGAAGCGCCTTCGCTTTTGGAGACAAACAGCCAAATCGTCATTTTCTGATGGAGGCAATCGTTCAGCTTAGCCGGCGCCCCGTATGAATAGAAATTAGTTCCCCCGCTAGCTCTTAGTGGTGGTGGTGGTGGGGATTATGTCTTGGGAGAGATAAGCATTTTATCAAAGCAAAGAGACGTTTAAAGCACTCGCCCTACTCCCTTAGTCGAAACTCATTCGTTGATTTTGTTACGTGGAAGTTTGGACTGAGAAAGAATCAGGTTGCAAAATATTTTAATCCTTGTCTATTAGAGACTTCATTGGTACCCGCAGGCGACATTAACGAGTAGTCGCTTAGTTCTATAAATAGCCCCCGATCTGGGTTTAATGGACCGTTTCCCTACCAGTCCCGTCAGTGGCTGGAGCGATGGGCTTTTTCATCATCATTTTAATTTAGCCCGGCAAGCAGAACTGATAAAGTAACGCACCGTTGGGCTTGCTCCGTGTTGCTAGACTACCGCGTTACAGGGGGACATTATAGCTTCCCTCAACTTAGGCGTTACATCAAATATACTGAAAATGAAACATCCCACCATTTTGGATTTGAGAAAGAAAAAAAAGAGGTTGTTTTAGGGGTATGGAGAAGGGAATTCAAAACAAGCAATGCTATTGCGTTGTTGGGTCGCTTTTTGTGTTCAGTTTTCCTTTATCCTCTTTTTTTGTTTTGCGTGAAAAATATACCTTTACTGTTAACGGTATTTCGGAATATTCGAATTCAGTCGCGAATACCGGTTTTGCTCAGCACTCGTGTGCAAGCCCTCCTGCTTGCATCTAACGCCTTCACAATAACAGGAAGGGGGAGTTACCTTTGGTAAATAAAGTGAAGTATTGAAGCTGCCAAGAATAATTTCCAATTACAGATGCTAAACAAGTCTACGTTTAACTATTGTAATCGATACCTCTCGTCCTTACGTTTCGTCTTGTCCTTATATTTCACAATACATTATTCCAGACCCTAAATATTCTGGAGTTACAAAGCTGTAGTAAACCAGACGCCTCAGAATAGTTCTTTCTGTGCGTGTCACACATAAATCGATTAATTTTGAATGCCAGCTTGAACTAAGGGTTCAACTCAGAGAAAAGGCAGATCTTGAAGAATAGGTGTGTTCTTCCGGCTGTTTGTGTATATTGTGTGTTTGATATGTTCAGTAATTACCTTTCCACAATTTATGTGTAATTTCTTCCCAAACAACTGGCCGATTTGAGGATTAGCTACTTTTTTTTCTGGCTGAAAGCTACCGCCTGAGAAGAGCACTGCCGCTCCAAACCCCGCCCCCCCGCCGTGACTGCACACCCCTACTAACAAAAAGAGAACAGATTTTTAAAATGCTTTAATGAACTGTCACGATGTACAAAGTATGGGCAGATTTCCCTCTGTGGCTGGAGTTGCATGCTACATCTTTCACTCCGACCTCAGCAATTAATCGCTGCTGGGCCCGATTCTGCTAATCCAATGCACGGATGGCATCCGTGGGAACACTCGACGTAGCAAAACGGCTCAGGTGCATCTTCAGCCGTTCCTCCCCTCCCCC